AGGCAGGCAGGCAGACGCACACACACACACACACTCACAGAGTCGCAGGATAGGAACCTCCTCAGACAGGAGCGTGTTTCGCTGTTCATTTAACAAACGCACCTCGTCGATAATCCTGCTGCATGAGATTTTGGCTCTAAGCGGATTGGCCAAACAACAAAGTTGAGTTTGGAGTTGTTGAGTTTTGTTGTGTTTGATGTCCTGCGGCGCATATTAACATTATCAGCTGTGCCCAGGATCAAACAAGGACAATTGTTATCGCAGCATTCGAATAATGTGTGAAATTTTACGCCTGACGGAAAAGGCGCCCGCTGTGCAGCACATCGAAATTAGAGAGGGACAGACACAGAGAGAGAGAGAGAGAGAGAGGGTGGCATAGAGGGCGAGCGAAGGGGGAGGTCAATGGCCTAATCAGCAAATTGCGTTTAAGTGATTTAAAGGATATACTTCGCTTAATGCCCGCCAGCAACTATCCCAATCGAATTCCCCGCAAATGTTGTTAGCCAATTGCGATTGCCTATCGACCTTACCTGCCTCACCCACCTGCCCCTATTTGACGAGTGCAGTTAAGTTCTCTTTATCGATGTCTCTCGCTGGCTTTTACGCCCGAGCTGCATGCGAATTTGTGTGCCGGGGTATACTGACTGAGTGGCTAAGCTTGTTACAAGAGTTTTTACATTTCTAATAGAAAATTGGGAAATTAAACTTTTCTTGACAAGCTAAAGCATGTAAGAGACTGTTCACTTTAAGTTTGGTTTGTTGGCGCTCTCTTATTATGAGCATAAATAGATGTCAACATAGCCTAACGAACCACATGGAATTTAGAGCACCTTTAACCTTTTCGTATAGCTCGAGAACTATTGAAGCGATTAACTTGAAATTCATTATATATATACATAATCGGTTGATGTACATATATATAAGTATATAACTCCTTTAATATATATATATGCCTTTTACCTAGGCAGTTCAAACTATGACTAAAATTTTGGAGAAATTAACTTTTCTTTGAAACAAAGATGTATAAAGAGGGAAAAGTTCAGATCTTATATGCAGGGAAAGTAAGTCTTGAGTCAAGATAACTCAAGTTCACAGTAACTCTAGTCACGGTATCTGCTGGTCACCCACACTCCCCTCTTAATCACTTTTGCCTAGCTTACAACTCCAATACATGTTAAGAAGGTGGCTAATATCTTTATAGCCACAGCTTGTGCGAGATGAAAGAGCGAGTGTATAAAAGGCGGGTATATGCTACCTGCTCAGCAAATCGCCTCACTTCTAGGGTAAGCTCTAGTCGAGCTGTCTACTGTTTTAATACTCTTGCTTGCTTTGCTCTCTCAAAGCGCAACGCTTTCAATTGAATTCGCGTCAGTTTAACGAGGTTTTCGAACGGAAGCGGAAATTTCTTTCGCATGTTTGTGAGAGGCGCCAATTTGTTTGTGAGTCAAGTCAAGCCAAGTCAAGTCGAGCTACATTTAAGTGTCTGTAAAATCGGAGCTGCGCATACCATTAGACACAATGCTTATATAGACAAAGATATGTATGTATGTATAAAAATATATATGTAAATACTTTAGTCAGTGGCGCCTGACGGTTTTTCCATGGCCTCCAGGCTGTTGTATAGCTGAGCGACATAGTAATATATCTTCACGAATCCCGGTCTCTTCCTTCTCAAGTACTTCACGAAGTTCCCATCGAAGTGGGCGCCCAAGGTCTTGCCCACCTGCTCGACGTATCGCAGCGTTTCGATCGAGCTCTTGCACTTCAAGTACTTGGCGTCGATCAGGTCGGGGCGATAGGAGTGTATGAAGGCGCAGAAGGCGTGGCCGCTGGTCCACGATGTGGAGAACTCGTACATGGGTATGCCGTATGGTCGCATTCTCTTCTGGCAAATGACGAGCAGCTCGCGATGGCGATCCCCGAACGTCTTCCCGTCGAGCGTGCAAATGGTGGAGCTCCGCTTCAATTTGGATGTGGTCGGAGTCGAGGTCGTGGACGACTTCAGCTCCAGCTGGAGATGATCCTTGCTATCGAGCGACAGCTTGAATTTTGACATGCCAGACGACGACATGGACGTGCCCAGCTCCAGCTCGACTTCCTCCACCTCGAGCGTGGAGTCGCCCTCAGAGTCACTGAAATACAGCAGGGTGTCCGTATCGGAGCCATCTTCCTTCTCCTTCGATTTGGAGAGCTCCTCAGAGGAGCCATCTGCTCCGTCTGCGCGGCCCGTTCGACTCGACTCAGTCAGCTCCTGCTCCCTGGCCAGGCTAGCTCTGCGACTCGCTATCTGCGCCTTGAGTAGCCAAATATTGTTGCAAATCAGCTTCAAGTCGCGTATTGCCTCCTCACTGGACAGATTCAGTATGGAGAGGTAATCCTCCTCCTCCGCCTCCGTCTCCAGGTGTGGGGAGTTTTTCAACATTTTGTGAGCGAGTGAGAATAAATTTACGGCTGTTTTGATTTAATTTTTGTTAAGCACTTTGAAGGGGCAACAAAGAAAATACCAAATAAATACTAAAAATATAAAAAACCAAAAAAACTTGAAATTTTATACAGGGGCAACTGTGATCGAAATATTAGAACTGGTACAACTGACTATTCGTAACTTTCTGACGTGTGCCATGCCTTGCCTTATTTTACATTTTATTTAAATCATTTTCGGCGCGTTCAGTGTATGGGAAATAAACAACATTTAATATATTTAAAAAAAAAACGTGGAACTTATATTTTCATATCATTATTATCTATTCTATGTTTGGCTGATCTTCATCGGATTGCCATATCTCAATAAGCGTGTAGATCATCTGACTAACTTGAAGATTCTGTTTCTAAAACTATGAAATGAATCTAATGATATAAGAGTAGACCAACATAAGAGCTTAGTGATATTGGAGTATTATGGAAAAACGGCATAAATCCAACTTTCAAGTTCCAATATTGAAGCTATAAAATGACTCTACTTTATTCGAGTAAATATCTAAATATACATATGAAATAATAATATACAAATACAATATACAATAATTATATTGGAGATCAACTTTCTCTCTCTATTAATCATGATTCCTGAATAGTTCTTCCATGCGAGATTTAACTGTAATTGGATCTATTTGAGCGACTCGTTAGCTTTGACTCCAATGCAAAACTCAATTAAACCTTAAGCGACCCAAAAGACTTTGATGAAAATCTAAACAGCTTCATTAATCTTATATTATTATCATCATCAATATTATGATGATGACTGCTGGGCAGTGCTCGAGGCACTTTGAGGGTTTTCAAATGACATTGTTAGTGTTGCGTTCATGCCACATGTTGACCCCGCAATTTGCGTGCAACAACAATGCGAAGTCAATGAAACATTTGCAACATTTGGTGACTGGCGCCGCCCATGCAGCTGCCACGCCCACTGGCCCCGCAGCAAGCCAAATAATATTTGATCAAAAAATGTCATAATTCAATCAAACTTCACGGCGAGAAAGAGAGAGAGATAGGGAGAGGGGGAGAGAGATTGAGAGTGTCCTGAGGGTGCGTGAGTCCTGTTTTCTGGTCAGCTGGCGAAGTGGGCGTGTCCACGGGGCGTTCGTTGACTGCACTCTGATTGCTTTTTGACAACAACAACAACAGCAACAAAATTTGAATGCTAATCAGCGATCTGCGTGCAGCAAGTGTCAAATATCAGCGGAGAAAACTAGTTTAGTTGGCATTGCGAAAAAGTCATTAAAATATATATATAATATATATACATATATAGATATTGCTATACATATATAAGATACACGAAACTTTGTAGAAGCTTCAAAAATAATTTCCGCTTTTAATGCTCATTTCGCATTTTGTGTATACAAAACTAATTAATATCCTTGCAGCAGCAGCAGCGGCAGCAGCAGCAGCGGCAGCGGCAGCGCAGGATATTTGTGCAAGTAATTTCCGACGCTGAAGAGTTGTTCGCGTAATTAATTTATGCTAAATACGCAACAACAACAACAGCAACAAAGCATCGCCAGCAACTGCCCAAAAATGCAAATAAAATTGCAAATTTTGCGCAAATTTGTTTTTGAAAATAATTAACTTTTTAGCCGGACGGCTCCGTTGGCTTTCGCGAAATACCCTGTGTTTAAATGGAAAGTGAGGTGTGCTATGGGAATTTGTGTGCAAGTGCTAAAGGATTCGTAAAGCTAACTTGAACTAGCGTAATTGAGGATATCTTTCCCGCCTGTAGTCGTCTATCCGGCTGACACTTTGTTGATTTGTTTTCCTCTGCATTGATTAGTGCGTCCATCGGTTTGTCTGTCTATTTCTATAGCTGTCCGTCTGTCCATTCGTGCAACTGTCCTTCAATCTCTGCCCGTCTCTTTGTTTGGTTAGCCATTCTGTCTATTCTTCCACTCATCAAATCGTCATCTATGGGCCTTCCTCCTTGATCGACTACTTCTATATTTGTCTCGATCCACTCTCCGCCACGTCCCTCTGACTTGCGATCCTACTACGTGTTTGTCGTGTCGTGTCGTGTCGTGTCGTGTTCATATGTCCGCCCATATAACCCATATCTGTCTAATTGTCTTTCTCCTGTTGCTCTGTCTCCATGTGAAGCCTTCTGTCCATGTGTTCTTCCTCTTCTTTGCTCTTCTATCATATTATCCTTTAGTTCTTTTATCTTCATCTCCCACTCTATACTCCTTCGTATGTCTGTTCATCCATCAACTCTCTATCCGTTTGTTTGCTTTTTGCTAATCTGCCCATCAATGTTCCCCCTGTTCGTCCTAGAAATCCTTAAGATATGCCAAATCCTGAGAAATATTGCCATTTTCGGATAACTTTTAGAGTTTGCTAATACAAACAACAATAAATAAGAGTCATGCAAAAATTTATAACTTTTACTCAGTTCGTACATTCAAGAAGTGAGCTCAACATCTGAATGTGTCAAGGGTATCATCTAGTCGAGAATTGAGTCGCATAAAGCATGCCTGGTTTTTGGGGCTTCTCAAGCAACCTCTAGAGCATTATTTACTTCAGTTGTGTGTTCATCTTCCTTCAGTAATTCATCGAAATTTATGTCGAAATAAGTTATTTATTTTAGTTTTATTTTTATCAAAAACGACTAGAAGTATATCCATTTTGGATCAAAGAGTTTGCATAATATATACATATTTATATATACGATATATACGCATATACAGAATGGGCATCTGCTGGAGTTGGGTGCGCGAGCTCATCTGCCATTTCGTGGAGGCCCACCTGGTGATACTGATGTGGGCGGTGAGTGGAGCAGTCGTGATGCTCTACAATTTTCACTCGACCTTCTGCCTCATCGAGCGCTTCAGGAAGTGCGCGCTCAATGAGGAGCAGGAGAACACAGATATGGACACTGACGAGTGTAATGACGACGATGATGCGGCTGAGCCGACGCCTGCCCTGGACTACGGCGCACAGAACGGCCCACACGCTTGGCAAACGGCCTTGAACAATCAGAGTCCCATCAACATCGACACGCAGGATGCTGAGCAGATCTGCATGGGCTTGTCCCTGATGTGGGTGGGCTACGACGAGCTGCCCGTGGGCATACGGCTGGAGAACAACGGGCACACCCTGCTGCTGAGGGCCTGCTTTGAGGGCGACACTCCGTTCGTCGATGGGGCCGATCTGCTGTGCTCGTTTGCGTTCCACGAGATCAGCTTTCGCTGGAGCTGGCACGAGAACGCCACCGGATCGGAGCACTCGCTGAACAACGAGCACTTCCCCCTGGAGATGCAGTGCCTCCACACGAGCAGCAATGAGGGCGACGAGGTCTCCAGTCGCAGTCTGCTGGTGATCTCCTACATGTTCGACATAGCTGCTGAGAATCCCTTTCTCGACGTGATCGTTCAGTATCTGGTCGCCGTGCAGCGCGCCGGGCAGTGCGTGGAGATACCACCGTTCCCGCTGAACTATCTGATGCCGGCGTTCTACACGGACTTCTACAGTTATCACGGCTCGCTCACTGAGCCGCCCTGTCATCGCGGTGCCGAGTGGTTCATCAATCCGCTGCCCCTGGCCATCAGCGAGCGGCAGCTTCACGAGTTCCGCAAGCTGCGCAGTCGCAGCGGCTCTCGCATCAGCAGGAATGCACGACCCGTGCAGGAGCTGGGCAACCGGACGGTCTCGTTCAACTGCTACAATCCATTCGACGAGTAGGGCCGACGGGGAGTGTACCGTATTCGAGGGAATGAAACCGGAATATGTAAAATGCTCGATATGTGTACATGTATTCAAATATAGTTAGTGTGAGGCGCAAAATTTAGTTAACGGGAATAAGAGTTTATATAGAGCTGGAAGATAAGAGCTGTGAAAGAGAGAGAGAGAGGGATCAAGTTAATGAAAGATAAAGAGAAAGAAACTGAGAGATGGGTAGGTGGATAGTTAGAGGGAGAACAACACATCCTAGTAGCTCCTGGAATATACCAAAACTGAAACTGAGGGAGGGTCAGGTAGGGAGTTAGAGCAGATCCTAAAGGTTCCTAATAGATGTACTACTAGGGAAATGAACTAAACTGACATCCTTTTCGCATAATCTGAGGCCTACGTATCGAATTTGATTTCTGAATCTTTTATTGTTCTCGAGTTTTGTTACAATTGACTTTATTTGAGGAAATTCTCTTTCAATGTTCAACGTTAATTTTTTAAGTTTATAAAAATGTTTGTGATATTCCGCCCGATTTCTGAAGCTCGTTAAATTCAGTCCAATCATAGTTTAAAATAAAGTGCAATTAACGTCATGTAAATAGATTTGTTTTCATATTGGTTAATTGGGTTTAAGGGCTGCCAGTTCTACCCCTGCCGCTACCCCCACCCCAGCTGCTGTCCCGGAGCTAATTAGAGCAGAGCCAGAGCCAGCGCAAATCTTCCGCACAATTTCATTGGGCCCAGAGAGTTCGCAGCGTTGCGTTCTAATCCACTAATTAGACGTTCAAAGAGCATTTAGGCAGCGCAGTAGATGTCGTTGCCGAGCTTCGTCCTGCTGCGCCGCAGGACACGGCTCGCCAGCGTCGCTCATCCATGTGTTAGAATTTGTGTAGCTGTGTTTGTGTTCGTCTGCGTCTATAATTTCGTTAGTGCAGCGGAAACTGTTGCGGACATGTTGCCCAGCCCAGCAAATGGCAATGCGATTGGCATTGGCACTGTGTCCGGTAACTGCGATTGGGACTGGGAGTGGGACTAGGAGTGGGACTGGGACTGGGATTGGGATTGCGCCTGGGCTTGGGCTATTGGGATTGCGCCTCCTGCGGTGACGCACCCTCATCTCTCTAGCTCAAACACTCATATACTCTATCTCTGTCTGCCTCTCTCTCTCCCTCACTCTCTCTATTTCTCACTCTCTCCCTCTCTGGCAAGGCACAGTCAAATTATACACATACATAAACATACAGCTGCGTTGACTGCGTGCCCTGTTGTAGCTTCTAATTATCAGTTGGCCCAGCAGTTGCTACAGATGCAAGCTACACTGAGAGAAATTGTAAAATTTTGAGAACTTCTGCAATGTAAGAGGAGAGAGTGGAGAGTGAAGATTATAGATTAGAGAAAATAAATTGGAGATTGGAGTATGAAGAGTATAGAAAATAGAGTGGCGAGTGGAGAGATGAAAATTGAGAGTGAAATATGGATAGTGCAGGAGTGACGAGAGAGGAGAGACGAGAGTGGAGAGCGATGGGATAATAGTGGGAGTGTAGAGTAGAGGGTGGAGGGTGAGAGTAGAGAATAGAGAGTGCAAAGTAAACAGCATTGAGTGGAGAGTGATGGGAAAAAGTGGAGAGTTATGAGAGAAGAGTGGAGAGTGGAGAGTTTTTGAAGAGAGTAGTGTAGAGCATGGTAGAAAGACTAAAGATTGGGTAGTGCTGAGTAATATAAATGATTAGGCGGTAAGAAAATTGTGAAGAGTGGAGAGTTAGAGTATGTTGTAGAAAGTAACGAGAGAAGAGTGGAGTAGTTAGACTAATAAGAGGAAGGTAAACAGTGAGAGCGAAGAGTGGGCTGTAGAACATGAAACAGTGTAGAGTCGTTTCTTGTATGGAGTGGGTTCCAATAGAATAGAGCACACTAATTTAATTTCCATACGAATTCTTGAAATGTCCATCAATTTTCTCCCCGTGTGCGTGTGCTATGTTTCATTGCACATCGAGGCAGTAATTGCGCTTTATGGAAGGTGGCCGCATGGAGCTGGCTGAGGCTGGTTTGATGCATCATTTGCTTCAGACGAGAACTAAAATGCGTTCGATTTGATGCAGAGCCACACAACATATATCTAATATATACATGTGTGCATGTACATATATATAGGGAGAGAGAAAGAGATAGAGAGAGTTTGCTATATAATCAGGTGCAGGCTGCAGGGGCAGGAGCTGGGGCTGGGGCTGGGGCTGAGGTGAAGGCTGTTTGCAATTGCGAATTGCATTTGCTGCAAATCAACGCTAATGAAATTATTCAAACAACTTTTCGATTGTTGTTGTTGCTGTTGTCGTTTGTCCGTTTGTCCATTTTGGCCATTTTGTCGATTTGCAATTTGTTTTGGCAACTTAATTGAATTGCAATTTTCACAAATAAAGCTTAATTTTTGGTTCGATTCCCAAAAATTTAATTCTTTTCGGCTAAATAATTAATTTGGAAAAAGCAGAGGAAGAACACGAAAATGCAAAAACTTTATAGAAATTTTGACCAAATTGCAATTAAATTGCATAATTGAATTTATTAATGCAAATCGTCGTTTGTTCATAAACATCGAAAAACGAAAAATGTTTGCCATTTCGCTCATAATTAATGCCATTTGTTTATTTGTTGTCTGCGAATACAAAATAATGTGCATAATTAATAAGAGTCTCTAATCAATAAACAAGGCCACAAAATGCGCACACGAATTTCAATTTTGTTGCCCAAACGCCAAATTGTTTGGCCAAATCGAAAACATATTAAAATGAAAATTTCATTGAACTACAATTTCATTGAATTCTGTTTTATAGAGTGAACTAAACGAGAGTTGATATAAAATAAATATCTGCTTCTTTTCACTGTAAATCAATGTTAAATACTGTTAAGTCTGGTAATGTTAAGCTAGCTTTAACATATGTTAAGTTAGCTGTCAAATCTGACATCTACGACAATTTTAAATATCTGTAGACGTATGTAAACATTCAATTGTAATGCTAAAATCGTTTGTATTTATTTTTAGCTCGAGTCAGTGACAATTTGAATTGCCTCGAATCCTGCTCGAATCCTGCTCGAATCCTGTCTGGCAATCCTGGCAGTCGCTATGTTAGACAAACATATCAATCAACATTCTAATTGAATGTAATTAGAAAAACGCATGAGCTGCCAAATCTAAAGGCAGACAGCCAGCCATACAGAAGCTGCCACACTAACCAAGGAGGGCCAAGGAGCTGGCAAGGAGCAAAAGGAGCCAAGGATGCGCCGTCGTAGTTTCGCACAGAGCCAAGAAAATGAAATTAGACGAATAGAATGACGATGTAAGTGCCATGAAAAGACGTTAAGACGAAGCGGCTCGCCTGGAAGCTGTGGCTGCTCCACGATGCCACGATGCCAAGACGGCAAGACGGCAAGCTGGCAAGCTGGAAGATGCTAAAATTGAGGTAAATTGCATTTAAGTGTTGCCTCTCTTCATTTAGCTGCATGAATATGCATGGAGCTGGGGCGGCAGCAGCGGCTTTTGTGCCACATAAATTGAATGAATAATTGAGAAAACGAGCGAATGATGGCATTAGTGTGTGATTGCGATTCTCTCTCTGTGTGTGTGTGTGTGTGTCGGTGTGTGTGTGTATGTGAAGCTAATGAATTTTAATTGGTTTTATTAAGGCAGAAAGCGGCAGCTGCAATCAGCCCAAAGAGTTGGCATCAGAAATCGCAGCAGCCATTTTTTTCCGCTCGCTCTCTGTTTGTCTGTCCCTCTTCTTCTTGCTTTTTGTTAATTGTTAATCATTAAATATTGTTGCTGCAAAATCAATATGGCGGCTGACGATTAATTAACGCCATTTTGTAATTATCTGCGCATTTTTAATCCAATTAAATTCAACAACTATAAAAAACTCGCCCCGCCTGCGACAGTCAATTAAAAAATATGAATTTCACAAACAAATAACTGTAATTGCAAATTGTTATTGCAAACGTAACCGCACATGACCCAAACGAAAAAAAAAAAAATAATAAATAAGTAAATAAAACAAAACAAACGGCGCAAAAAACTGTACAACGAATGTGTGCGGAACAGCAAAAACTCGCTATAACGCACCCATACTTTGTGCTCTGCCTTTGGTCCTTGCACATCCTCCTGCCCTACGGCGTACTTCCTTTTTCAATTAAACGCCACCATTTTCCATTAACGAATTTGCATGCATGTCTATGCAAGTGTGTGTGTGTGTGTGTCTGTCACACACACAGTCATACAGCTTTGCTCCCTCTCTCACTCTTACACACACACACACACACAGCGTTCGCCTGTATTTCTATAATAAAATTAAATTAGAAGACCAGAAAATTAAATCATCAAAGCTTGACGTCTGGCGGCGGCTGCTGCTGCTGTGTGTGTTTCTGTCTCCCTCTCCCTACCTCGCTCTCGCTCTCTTTCTGTCTATGCACATGTGTGCGCATAAAATGGCGTGGTACACACACACACACACACACATACACACACATGCGACCCAATTTGCAAAGCGACAGTTACGAGTTCATTAATTTCTCAGCCTTTTTTCGCCTCGACGTCTGCAGTTCTACTCGCTGCGGTTGGAGCCATGCCCAGTCCCCCTAGCCCAGTCACCCCCTTCACTCTGCCACCCACTCGCTCGCTCTCTCTGTCTCTGGCAACGGTCTGGGGGTGTGAGCAGCATCATAAATTAAATTCTTCATCAACTCAAACTCGTTAAGCGCCAATAAAGTGACAGAGAGTTATTTTCATCACTTTTTCAATGGTCTACCACAAGGCGTCACGCACACACACACACACATACATATATACGCGTGCTTCTCATGCAATGCGCCGAAGCGCTCTCTGCCTATGCGCTCGCTCTCGCTCTCTCGCTTTAGCTCTCTCGTCAAGCTGCTTCGCTTAGGCCACGCCTCTGCTGCAGCAGCATAGCTACAGAGCAGCGCAAGCGAGAGCGAGAGAGCTAGCGTTTACTGTGTGAGCGTGTGCGTGTGTGTGTGCGAGGAAGATGGAGGGCAGCCGCTGCTTGCAGAACTGGTTTTCGGCTTTTGCGCTGGCGCAGCCCGCTTTGATTTGATTTGATTTGAGGCTCGAGATAAAGCTAAGTGCAGTCCACATCATCACATCAAAGCCGACTGCTTGTCGAGCAGCTTGTTTAGATCTTAATCGGACAGAAAATGAACCATAAATGGATTTCGAATTATGCATTCAATTATTGTTGTCTATCTGTGTGGTGGAATGGGGTGGTGCAGGCAGTGAGAGAGAGAGAGAGAGATAATGTGAAGGAGACGTATAAGGATGCAGTAGGACTGAGAGGAGGCGAATGAGGAAGAGATGCAGGAAAGGCTGGACGACGAACCGGGAGCTGGAGGAGAAGAAAATGAGATCGAAGATAACCAAAAGGCGAAACAGAAAAAGGATAATTAAGCTGAACATTAAAATATGAGAGAGAGAATAATGAATAATGAAAAGAGAAGAAAAAGAATGCAAACAAAGAAGAACGAGTGTAATAAAAGAAACAGAAGATATGTCGACAGCACAGCTAAATTAGCTTCCTAAGAAGAAGCAGCAAGTGTA